GTTTTTCTGACAGGTGGTATCCAGCAGTGTAGTTTCAGTACAGCAGTGTGCTAACATATGCTTTCATTATCATATCCTGGAGGTATATTCTATGAAATTGTACTCGTCCAGTCATCCATGTCAGTCCTCGCTATTGTTAATCAATATACTGTCAAACTAAATGTCACTCAACGTATGACTTGCAGTTAAGATAGTTTATCTGACTGGAAATATGAACACACAGACACAATGATGTGTATGCGTGTGTATATGTTTCCAAAACCCTTGTAAATCCACTGTGCACACTGCCAAAGACTGTGCACGCAGTTATTTACCAAACACACACACACACAGCTGCCGGCCATGTAGGCCAGCTCATAATGTGTTCCATCTCAACACGCTTCAATTGCAGTCAGTGCTGTGAGGCAGAGAGACAGAGATACGGAGAGAAAAAAAGGGATGCAGCAAAGGACAGGGAGTGAGATAAATATCAGTGGCCCTTGGTATAGATGTACAGATAGAAAGCTTAGAATACACAATAGCATCAGGGCAATCTCACACACAATTGTTTTTCAAGTCACTGTGTTCCAGAGGCAGCGGTTTTAATAGAGAAACATGACTCTGAGTCTTTAATTTAGTCTTTGCCTCTTTACACCTCCCTTCCCTCTCTTCCTCTCCTCTTCTGCCTTCCTGCCTCACTTCCCTCCACCTCTCCCTCCCTCTCTCTCTCTCTCCCTCTCTCTCACCCCATCTCTTTTCAGTAACGAGAGGATTAGCGGGAGACGAGCCGATGTCAGCTGAGGATGCGGGGAGAGTGGGAGGCACAGAGGAAAGGGGAGGTGAAGAGGAGAGGAGGGTGAATGAAAGGCGGTATCGAACGCTGACCTGTTTTGGGCTGATAAGCGCAGGCTGCTTTGTGCTGAAGCCACTGGCTTTAATTTGGGGGCCGCAACATTTGGAATTAATTATCACACGCACTCCAGCACTGCTGCGGCTTACTGTGTACATGGCTATTACATCCACTCCAATACAAACTTTATACAGCTTATGTGCTGGAACTTACTGTTACACAGGAGTTTGCATTGCTGTTATGATAAATTTGCATAAAATAGAGCTGCACTACAATGTTAGTGTACAGTTATACAAAGAGGGATGTGGGGTATGCCTCCTATGAAGAACTGTTCAGGTTATGGGCAAAAGCAACACAAGATTTTTCTTTCAACACTAAAAGATTAAAACCAGTACAATATAGTAGCTCCAGTTGAAGTTGAGTCCTGAAGGCAGTGAGCAGGGAAATGTACTTCACTGAATCTTTCAGTATCCGAGGTCGAGGTGATACGGTTGGTGACTGTTCCGTACTGGTATCCAGCGGTACCTGTTTTACTACGTAACATGTATGTGATCTACAGGTTTAGGACATAATAGAATAATTATGAATAAGTAGATCAGCACACTTGCCAACCTCCAGACATCATAGCCTAAATCAGGAGACCAAACCTAACCAGGATGTCTGCATAGGCATATTAACCTAATGAAAACCTATTATTGGGAATCATCCTCATAACCATAGTAACTCGCTCTCTCTTGCCTGCACACAATGCAGGATAGACACTGACTCTTGTTTGTCCGTGCATTCTCAGTGTCTCTTTTCCTGCAGTTAACAGTTACGAATTTATTTCTCACTGCATGAGAAAATGGACATGTGGCTTAGGGCCTGTGAGTTGATAGTCCTGTATGTCTAAATATAGTAGAACTCTAAGCTACCGTCAACCAAGAGTGAAAAACGTTATCTCAAACAACTCATCCAACTAGCTCATTATTTACCTGAAGATGTCGACGGCTGACTTAAAGTTTCATCCCACATGTAGGGGTCAACTTCAGTGCTCGCTGCAGGTTTGCTAACATTAACTGCGGATGTTGAAGGGGACTTTGCTATCAGGCTATCAAACATGGTAGCGTTGTGTTTGACCAGGTGTCTCCTCAGGTTAGACTTGTTGCCCTGGCCAGCTTTGCATTTTGCATTACACAGGCTGTGTGCCCTGACTCACTGTGACTTGAACAAGCTGCAGGCACTCTCTCTCTTTCTGTCTATTATCTACCTTACTCTCTCACCCAGATGCGCTCTCAGATACCGAAATTTGGCACAGATGTATTTAACATGAATTGGTACTCAATCGGTACCCTCAAAAGAACAGAGGTTGGTACTCAACCTTAGAGGTGAGATGGACTCTTGAGCCATTTGCAGAGATTTAAGTCCATATATATATTATTGTCTGACAGAATATTCTTTTAGCTTGCCTGCTAAACTTTTTTTGTGAATGAGTCCGCAAAGCTTGTCAACAGGAACAGTTAAATACCTGCTGAGTTCAATAAAATCGATATAAAAACGAACCTTCAACAGTGTGATATTATAGCTCAGTATTTCACCGGCCAACAATACGGCCACATTTCCTGTAAAATCCATACAGTGGTAAAACACAAGCAGTGTTTTTACATTAGTTTGGAACAAACACAATACAAACGCTAATTAGTGAGCTTTCCAGGTGGCAGTAGGTGGGCTGACTCCAGTTACAGCTAACCTTCTTCTGGCATTAGCTTCATATTTACCGGACAGATGTAGGAAGGGTTAGGGTATCGATCTTCTCGTCTAACTCTCAGCAGGAAAACAAGCACGTTACATGGTTGATGCAAACAACAAGAGAAACAGCCTAGAGAGAAGCATTTCTGTGTGGCATCTCAGTTAGAAAACATTACGTCTGTTTATGTAGAGGCAATACTGGAATGAAATGAAACATGATCACCAAGGACCATGGTGCCAAATCTGCTTAGTAGTTTAGTGCCACCACATTTTTGACTGCAAATCATCCATTGTGACCCATTGTGTACGCTCAGTGCTTATCCGACTGGTTTAAAAAGTTGCCTGCTTGTGTGAGACATAGAACGAGGTTTGTCACATAATAAAAAATAAGGCTAAAGGCCATGGCACATCAAGCAAACGTTCTCCAACAAACACAGATGTTTGCCTGGTGTGCCATAGCTGTCTGCAGTATTTTTTTTTCGAATTGTTTGTAGATGTTTGTTCAGATTCAACATGTCCAATCCATGTTTGATGAAGTTGGATCCATGCTTTCAAATAGACAATTAATAAACGTGCCATGGACAGTTAGTTTCTCAGACAGCTGCCAACATTAGAATATTCCCTGTTGTTGTTCAATGTTTGATTGGTGTGCCATGGGCTTAAAACTGTTTTTTTAAACCATCTGAGCCAGATGTCACACTATTATGGTCACAGGCATTGATATTCCACCCAAATATAAAGAATTTAAAGGTCACCTCAACACGTTTGACTAACTTTATTAAAGTTTAACCTCGCTAGGCAGTTTTTCTCCGTCTACCCGTGGATTTTGAACCGTAACCATCTCTCTGATCACATCCCCACATTCGCATTCCCAGTGGATAATTGGTGTGTTGTTTTCCACCACATTGAACCACGGTTCATACATGGTTCAGAACCACTTGTAAAAATAGTGTACTAGCGATAGTAAATGGTGCAGGATACAGTAACCCCTATTAAAAGTAAACGTGTGGCTAGTAAGAGCAGTAGCAGCAGCAGCAGCGGCTCGACTACAGTGGATTGGGAGCAGCTTTAGAGGCGGCGTGAAGCGGTTGAGTGGCTCAGCAGGGCTGTGTGTATGTAGGCCGTGTTCTGCATGTTATTTCCTTGAAGTCATCAGACCTACGCTCCCCCATCAGGGAAAGGCTCTTATGATAAGTGGCAGCCATGAAATATGCACAGCCTGTCGTAGCCGCCTGCCTCGCTTCACAGAGCCTCGCTTCCCTTCCTCGTCCCCTCCCTTCCTCCTCTCCACTGTCCCTTCCTACTACCTCTTCCTCTTTCCTTCTCGCCTCGCCTTCATTGTGGAATTGCTTCCCTCTTCGTTTATTTCATGTTTTCCTTTCTCTCTCACATTTGCTCCCATCGCTCTAATCTCTGTTTCTCCTTACCTCTTTTTACCTCCTTTTCTTCACTCTCCTCCAGATCCACTTTTTGTTTTTGAAGCACATTGAAATGTACACAAGAAACATCATGTAAACACAACAAGCAGCCCCTAACACATCTTTTAAATCCTTTATTTTAGGTATGCCTGTTTTTCCTGAAAAACAAAAAAAAATTTGGCACATGGAAAGCATTGTGAAAAGCATTTTTTTTTCTCCTTTAGATATATTTCATTATTTTCACACATAGCGCACACAACAGTAGCCTGGATCACACTTTTGAAGCACTGCTGACACAGAAAACATGAATCATCCTAATATGTTAAATGTATATAAATCCTAACTAATAAAAAGGTAAAAGCATTATTCATGCAGAGTTCATTTTGCCTCTCCTTCAGCAGGAAGGAACCATACAAACAAAAACACAAATCTTGGAGTTAAGACTCTCCTCCTCTCGTCCTTTGCAATACTGACCACATGGTGTATAACTATATGAATATATAAACATTTGACACAGCTATGTATATGTTTATGTATAAGTATATATAGTAATTTGTTGCTGTTATAATACAGGAGACACTGTAATAAATACCGACAATGGAGGTACGGTACAGGTAATGGATGTAAAGTCATAAAAACACAACAGTTGCATTTACTTTCAGACTCACAATTGTGGACGAAATGTGAAAGCACTAAAGTTCCTCTTCTGTGCTGACCTCACCAGCAGTTTAAAGTATGAGACCAGAGATAACAGAGAGGACAGACCTTATGTAGATGTTAGTTATGACCTTCCCTAAATCAGTGAAGGTTTTTTATTCATCCATTAACCCAATCAAAATGTCAAATGACTTCATGTAACAGGTCTCTGTGCCACCAAAAAGCATCGAACGATTGAAGAGCATTACGGGGGACTGAGTGTGAAATATTCAGACCAGTGATGAGGCAACTAAAGAGAACTGAAAATCCTCAGTGCGTGGCTTATGTCAACTTTAATTGCAGATGACATTTTTCACACTGTGTTGGAAATGTTTCCGATATTTAAAGCTTATGTCTAGTAGACAGCAAGTGTAGCTATCAGCCAGTTGTACATGAAGACCTACTGCCCTTTGCATTAAAGTTACAACTAATATTTTAGGAATCAAATTCAAGAAATTCTGTTTTGAAATAATTATTATATTCTGACTCAATATTGATCACCATGGATATATTGATCCCTCATTAACTTCCAGTTACTTCCATACTGTAGATACTCCAAGATATCAGCTACCATCTTCATGATAATGTCCTATTTGTAGTCATATTAATGGCCTGCTAGCATGGCAGATAACCGTTTGTTCAAGTGAATTAACTGTATGATATTGTTGCATTCTTCTTCTTCTACTGTATAGACAACTTCCTGCCACTACTACTGATAAACACCAGTGAAACCCAATGTGTCCACTTTGCAGAAAAAAACTTCCCTGATGTCCCCTGATATGAGGAAGCACTTCAGTCACTTCCACACACTGTTACTTAGACTCAAGTGTATTAGGTACATCTTTCTCCGTGGCTGAGATAAACCTGTCTGCCAATGAGCCTTATAACCTTTTGTATGTAAATTAATTACAGTTTTAACCTGAGCCTTCTGAAGGTCCGTTCACTACCTGCCTTCTTGTCAACATTATTGCTAGCTGGGGAAAACAAAAGAAAACACACACACACACACACACAGTCCTACTTCGGGAAGCCTAGCTTTAACCTGGGTGTCCATCTTTGCTGCTGCTGTAGTTAGGATGGAAATTCTTATTGCGCACGCAGATGGCTACTTGAAAAACACATCAGTGAGTAGAGCCTCAAATCCTTTCTCCAATCCTTTAATCAACTGGACCATAAAAATTAAGCTGCACGATATGTCAGCCCGCTTATCTGTTTGAAATCCATTTTTCTACCACAGAAACTTCTTCCAGGCCTTTGGACATTCAGGTGGTTAACCTACATGTCTAAAACAGGCCATAGATCCTAACCTGCAACACATCCCTAGTACTGACTGGTTATGCTGTCCAGGAACTACAGAGTTGGAATTTTTGCAGTGCACGGAAGGTTTAATACTACATCAACTCATGTACAGCTTCCATTAAGACTCCACATAAGCACTAATTTTCTCTAGTATCACTCTTTTTTGTTGAAATTTACTGAAACATCATATTATTCGCTAATTGCTTCAATCTCAATATCATGCATTCCCACAGGAAAACAGCTTTTTTCTTCTCTTCTATCTTTTTCTCCTTTCACTTTCAGAGTAAAGTAGTAAGTGGATTATACCAACACTGCTTGATATGAAGGGGGGTGCAAACAGTCAGCATACAAACAAATGTTAACACAAGGCCAGGCAAGGCGCTGGGTAGGTATGGACACACATACAAAAATTCTAACGCAAATGTGCGTTATTACTCGTTCACGCACATATAAAACATACATATGCGCACACACATACGCTGTAAACATATGGCCAGGTATCAGAATCATGCTGTTGTAAAACACAAAGAAACTAACTGCTAGTCTCTTTCATTGCTTAAATACTAGATAACAGAAAATCAGAGAATAAGAAGTAGTATTAGCTATCTATTTAAATGACTCAAAGCTTATATAAAGACTACATTTCCTAACAGCATTTTACCATCATCCAAATGCTGAACAGCAAATAAGACACATAGACAATCTAATATTTGTTGCTTTTCAAAGCACAATTCTGATCTTCCACTATCTCACTGGGTAAAATCATACTCCTACTATGTTTTTTTTAATACATATTTTGAAAACCAAGAAAAAACAGCCACACAATGGTAGCACAGGGGTGCAGAGATAAGATGCTAAAATGCTGCTGGGAGACAAAGTCCAGGGCTATTATTGATATAGAAACTCATGCACAAGTATGTGAAGCATTCCAGTTTTAGCTAAGATAAGGATAAACATACAGACACTATTATTATTATTATACACTGAATAAAAATCACACATTACTACAGGCCAAACTTAGAATGTGCTGGAATAGCCGAGGAATGAGTAAAAGAAAAGTTAAATCACAATTTCCACCAAACAATGTGTCAACATGGAATGCTGAAGATATGTTACATGTGAATGACACAGTTGTTTTGTTTTTATTTGTGTGAACTGGGGGGGTCAATATTCTGTTGTTGTTGTGCATTTACTGCATTTGTGTCAGTTAATGCATTACTATTGAGTTACTCATCAGCAAAAAAAAATATAATTTTGTCCCTCAATGGAAATTTTGCATTATGAAGGTCACCATTGATTTCTAATCCTTATTCTGTTGATGTCTGTCAAATTAAACACACACTTTGTTCACACTGTGAGCAACACACATTGGAAATCATCCTAATAGCTTATGTCGAATCACACTTCCAAGCTTCTTGTTTCTCAAAAACAAAGCTGGGAAAAAGTCAGTGGCTCCTATCCTGTTCACTAGTAATATTTTGATCACATAGAAACATGGGAAAATACAGGATTTCTTTAAATTAAATCTAATCTAAAACTCTCAGTTTAAATTGTATTTTTGAAGCTACAATAGAGTGCTACATGCATTCAGGCCATTTCTTACGGCAACTGGATTTGAAGATTTGAAACATCCAGTCATCTCCAACAACAACTTATCCAGCTATTGGTTTATTTAGCTGAAGATGTCGATGAAGTTGTCAATGTTTGACTTACAGTTTTGTTGTACATGGAGCGTTTAACTTCAGCGCTGGCTGCAGGTGTGCTAATGTTAACTGCGGCTGCTGAATGGGACTTTTAGGCTATCAAACATGTTACACACTTGTGTTTGACCAAGTGTTTTCTCAGATTTGCATCAGGCCAGCTTTGCGACTTACTCTCTCACCCAAATGTGTTCTCAGGTACTGAAATTTGGAACCGATTGATTTAACATACTTGGTAGTACTAATGCAATTCGGTCAGTACACTTAAAAATACCAGGTTCGGTACCCAACTCTACATCCAGGTTGCAGCAGTGTGAACAACAAATGTGTGTATATGTGTTACTCGGTATGTCTGTGTGTCAGTTTAGGTCATGGCTTCTTGGTTGCTGTGATAGCACAAATCAGGATATTTCCGGATATTTAAAGTTGATATGTGTGTGTATGTGAATATTCCAGGGGTACACAGGCTTGATACTGGGAAAAAGATTATGTAAGCTATATGTTTGTGTGTGTGTGTGTGTGTGTGTATGTGTGATTCTATGTGACCGTGCATGAGCTGAAATCAAGCCTGCTCGGTGGCAGGGGTGGTAGCAACTCCTGGGAACTCTGGGTTGATAAAGGAGAATCCCTGGAACTCGTCCTGGTCCAGGTTCTGAATCACTTCCTCATCAGGAGGGGTCAGCACCGGTGGGTGGCGTGTGAAAAAACGGTCAAAGTTCTCAGCATCCCGTCCACACTGTTGAGGAGGGTGGGGAGGGATGGAGTACAGGGGAGGGGGGCGGATGGGGAAAGGGGAGGAGCGGGGATGGAGAGGAATGGATGGATTGGGGTGGGGTTGGGGGGGAAGGAGAGGAGAACAAAAGAAGGGGAATGGCGGGTTGAACCAGGGTGTGAGATGACATTACTTGAACATGGTTTCAAATATCACAACAAGGTGCCAGTACTTAGGGTGTGCTTGATTTAACTCTCTGTGTGTACTGGCTAAAAGGCAATTTGTTATTACCTTCAAAGTGATACAGAAATACCACTCTCAGGAGAGGATAAATCAAGCACGCCTCAGGTTTATGCTTTCCTTTTTTTTTTTAAATATTTGAAACATATTCAACTCCAATTTTAAACAGAACAAGGTCGCTGAAGTCTCAAATGTCCTGTGGCAGTGCACTACATTGGATAGGGGTGCAAAAGTGTAATAGATGGAGCAACAACTTTTTAAAAACAAGCATTTCACTGAGAAAGCATTCCACCATGGCTGTAAGTAAACAGCCAAAAACAATTCTGCTTAGCATTTCATCTAGATTTTTTTGGTTTTAATGCTTGGATTTAATTGGAATTTCTAAATCGTCATACAAGAAAAGGCTCAAAGCCATGCGATGATTATGGTGTAATTGTGGGTTAATTGTATGCCGCAGCTGTGGAGACCTGCTGAGATATGATAACCCAAATCAGACAACCAGCTAGTATGCAAAAGAGCGCTGGGAATAAATCGAAATCTCTTTCACATCTACTAACTGAAAATGTCGACATCTACTCTTGCTATTGAGAGCGTACATTTAGCAACAGAAGATCAACTATCAATCAATCAAAAAGTCTTGATTCTTAAATGCTTACAAAAAGTGACTAAGTTAAATCATCTCGAAGAGTATTGTGCAATTTACATTAGGTAGAATTTGTTTTCTCGAGAAACAATTTGGAAAAAAAAAGTCATTGTTCATTTCAGTCCACTTCATATCCTCGTTCTGACTACTGGGAACCCAGAAAGAGCTTATATACCCATGAGATGTGCGTCCATCTAAGTACATAAAACAAGTTATTAACTTGAAAACTATATTTTCCCGACAGTACGCCTCACAGGGACTTTGGGCCGAGCTATTCCTTTTTTTCCCCCATCTATATCACTGCACTGAGCTTTAATTAACACAACAAGGATTCAGTGTCCTCTGACAACATCACCCAGAGGAAAACTACAAACTCATTAAATCTCTGTAACTCGGAAAACCAAATGAAATTAAGCCAGACTGTTTATAGTTTGGGGAAATATGTGAAATGAGAAATACACCAGGGTCAAATAGTATTTGCAGCTAATTACTGCATGCGTTTGTTTTAACCTGTTTGGGGAGCCAGATGGAAAGAATTTGCCAAATAGGGAAATGATAAGAGCCACAAAGTTTAGAAGTATAGCAATTCAGTACACAAC